ATAATGTCAACTTCAAAATAAAATAATCCACATTGTTCAGGAATTGGAAAATTTGCTCGAATTGCAGCACAGTTTTCATATCCACCCAGACCTTTATATTTGAAAATAATTGTAGTTATGCAAGAATAGTGATTCCATACGAGACAGTAAAATTATAATTGTTATACAACATGAAATGTAATAACTCACCTGTATAAGTCACTATAAGTTTGTCTTCTATTTTTAGAAGATTACGTACATCATTAATATCCCATGCGGTTGGTGATTCCATATTGTTGTGTAATCCTATTAGCAAGAATGATAATAGAGTTTGTTTAATGTATGCTTTTTTACCTTCTTATGCAGAAGTTATATGCTGCGAATTTTATTTACAAATTTATTTTATTTTATTTATTTTTTTTAAAAAAAAAAATGAAAAATAAAAAATTATTATTTGACTTAAAAACAAATAAATGTTCATTACCATTAGAAGTGTCCGAAACTGGCTCTAATATAATATTGTTTTGAACAAAAATTGAGCAAAATTAATAGTTGTTAAATTCTTATATTTCTATAATATTTACCTTTATCACTCGAAACTAATTCTATATTTCAAATTTTTAAAATTTTTTAGTAAATAAACATATAATTAACGAATTCCAATAAAGTATTAAAGTTATTTGATCTTCTTGGCATAGTTAATTATTTATTATTTACCTTCGTTACTTGAAGCTGATTCCATGATTACAATTTAAATTGTTAATGAATAAAAATGATTATAATAAACGAATTATTATCATATTTAAATGTGTTTATAATACATGGAATTACCTTCTAAAAAGGATGCTTCCGTAGCATCCGAAAATGACTCTAATGTTGAATTTATGAAATAAATTTTTTTTTTTTTTTTTTTAGAATTCATCTAACCGTCAAATAAAACTCATTTGAGCTTATTTCTGTTTTATTTTTTTGAATTTTTTTGGCATTCTATTATTCTTTTTACCTTTAATTTCACTATCAGACATTGCTGTTATTTGGTTTTTTAAAAAAAAATAAAACACTTTTTCGACCCAAAAATTATTTTGTATAACGGAACGGTGGGTGATACAAGACATGAAGATCTTAACGCAGTATTTGAGGCTTAGTGCTACGTAAGGATCAAATTCGAACTCGAACCCGTTAATATTTACAGGACCCTAATTCGACTCGACTTAACTCGGATTCGACTCGAATTTTTAAGGGTAAAATAAATACCGAAAGTAAAAAAAATTTATTTTATACAGATAATGAAAAAAGTGCATTAAATTAGCAAGTTTATTATTTTTTAAGTTCTTTGGTTGTACATTGATTATATTTAGATTTTCCAATTTTCCACCAGGAATTCAAACACATACAGGAGTGAATTATATCGACTTATAGTAGAGGTTGGAACCGGCCCAAAAATCCTCAACCGGTTAAATTTAACTCAGGCCGGCATTATATATTTGGGCAAAACTATCGAAATTTTGTAATCACAAAAAATTTTAATTCTGCCCGAAAATTATATTTTGTCCAGAGTTATGATTAAATATTTTAACCGGTTAAAAAAAAATCTTTAACCGGTTAACAAGATAAACGTCTTAACCGGTTAATTAACCGGTTCCAACCTCTAATTATATATACTCTATAAAAAAATTCATACCAGCAGATAAGACAACTAATTTCACGATGGGTTTTTGAATTTTTATGTTCATGTGGAATATTCTCTTCAAAAAGTTCATTTCGCAATGCTTTTCGTTTTCCAAGAGTAGCTGTATTATCGGAATTAGTAAGTTCATTATTTAAGCTATTACAGATTACATACAGTAAAGCCGCATGCCATTTAATCACATCAACTGGCCATCCGGGTCAAGAAAAATCATGAAGTCTTTTACCAATTTCGCCTCTGCTGGTCTTAAAAAAAGAAGTATAAAGGCCAAATTTTGACATTTATTGGTATTTAGACATACTTTCTGCGCCTCAAAATTTCAAGGGTGCATTCCTTATTACATTTCCAAAGACCGGGCAAGACCGTTCAGGACAGAAAGACCGACTGACCATCTTTACTTAGGACTCGCGACACGAACGAATTTTTTTCTCGAGTCGGGTCAAATGACTGACCCGGGTCGACTCGACCGGATCGGAACACTAGATATTATCATAATTTATCACAAGTTTGAATGTAGAATCTTAATACACATGCCATGAATATAATTGGATTCGGACAAGATATATATTTAAATTATAAACTGAAAAAAAAATTTAATCTAGCTGGAAATTACATTTAAATTTCAGTATGTCCTGGCATTTTCACCAAATCAAATCTGGTTTACGTACCGTTGTCAGCAACGACCGCTCACACATTATACTTCATATTTAATTCTCCATCATCTACAAGGCAACAATTTCCTCCAAAATTACCTATCTCTGTATATATTTCTATACTTTTAACTCCATTTTTACTTTTTGCATTACTTTCATTTGAACCAATTCAAACAAGGAGACGATTTTATAAGTTATTAACACTCGCTCTTATACAGTGGCGATCATAAATAATGCAACAAAAAAATAAAATTCTTTAAATTTAAATATTTCTTTCAATTCTAG